GTAACTAACAAAAAAAAAACAAAAACAACCTATCCTGTTGGTCAAATTAAATAAACTGCTTCGATAGCTAGCCATGAAGTTATTGTTTTGCTAATTTTTTGTATTTTCTAGCAATTGGACCGTTAAAGTAATGTGTTAATTTGACTTTGGCATTGACGAGTTTTTTATGGCTCATCATTGTCGAGTGGCATATACAGTTATAGACGTGGCATTTCGTGAGTATTTTTTTTTTTTTTTTTTTTTTTTTTTTTTTTTTTTTTTTTTTTTTTTTTTTTTTTTTTTTTTTTTTTGTGAAGTTGCAGTTATATTTGTGGTTAAAGCATGTTACATTATAACCATTAACTAAACGTTAAGTGAGGTAAAATGTGCCTTAAGAAAGTCTTTATTTTGAGTTTGATTATTTAGCTTATTATATATATGTATTTTATCTTGATCCGATCATATCCGTTTAAGCGCAGTATATAGTGTTGCTGTGGACAATAATCTCTACAAAATTTCATGACAATGTCTTGCTAAATAAATTAGTTCTCCATACAAGGTATTGATTTGGATCGGTAAGTTTGTATGGCAGCTATATGCTATAGTGAACAAATCTGAATAATTTCTTCGAAGATTATACCGTTTCTTTAGTAAACAAACTGTACAGAATTTTGTAAAGATAGCTTGACAAATAAAAAAGTTTGCCTGACAAGTCCTGGATTTTGAACGAGGATTTTGTATGGCAGCTATATGCTATAGTAATCCGATCTAAACAATTTCTTCAGCAATTGTAGCGATGCTTAAGGTAATAATCTCTGTCAAATTTCGTGAAGATTTCTCAACAAAAAAAAAGTTTTCCATACAATAACTTGATTTTGTGTGATCAGTTTGTATGACAGCTACAGCTGTGTTCACGAAAATAATAGTGCGACAGCACATAACACTCCAATATTATTGCTGACACGTTCTTTATTGCAAATTGAACATTTCTACAATACTTTCGTGGAACAGAATATTGTTAACAAAAAAACACCAAAATACCATTATTTTTACTTTGCGTTGCTTTCTTTATGGTATATTTCAATATTTGCACCAAAAGTCTCTTGTTCATTAAAATAGTAGTGTTCGACGGGAATAGTTGAAAAAATTAAAAAAAAAAATTTAATTTCTTTTTTTTAATTTAACTGACATCAGTAAGTGTATTAAAATAATGTAGAAATTGTGTCATATAAATTTATTGAAATCGCTCTTTATTTCTTGTTTAGTACGTTGGAAAAACCTTGCTCAATGAAAAAGCGAGAGCTAATAGTTAAGTTAAGAGATCAAGGCAAGACATATAAAGAAATCGAAGAAATGATTGGTTGCACTGCTCCGGTGATATTTTATTCTATTCATCATACTATTAAGCCGAAATTCGTGGTGGTAAGTGCAAGACTACACTTCTAGAGCACCGACGAATTGTGCGATAGAGCAAAGCGAAGCCTTCGGAGTCGTCAAAAATAATTAAAAATGAATTGAATCTACTGGTCAATGCTGTCATAGTTAGCCAAAAGCTAATAGGAGCCAATTTACATGGAAGGAATCCGAGAAAAGTACCCCTTTTGACGAAGAAGCACGTCAATGCAACAGTAAAAAGTTGCGAAAGGCCATATGTATTGGCCCGCTCAAAAGTGGCACAATATTTTATTTACGGACGAGATCAAACCTTTATTGCTTGGTGGTATAGGCTCCAGGCAGTGTGTTCGTTGTCCCCCAAACACAGAATACCACCAAAGGTATACTACAAAGACAGTTAAGTATAGTGGGTTAAAGACTATGTTGGGGGCTCTTTGATCAGTGCCATTATGGAACAAGCAGTGTACGTTAATACATAGAAAGATGTAATGCTACCGTATGTTAGTTGGAAAATGTCGTTAAAATGAACATTTCAGCAGGATAATGTCCTAAACATAAGGGCAAACTAGCTAATCATTGGTTCAAATCTGAAAACATTACGTGACATCATGGCCAGCACAATCTCCGGACCTAAACCCGATAGAAAACTTATGTGGCGGTGTCAAGAAAAGCGTAACAACAGCAAAGCCATCGAAAAACACAGATCTTTGGCAAGTGTTTGAGGAGGCAAGGACTCAAATCTCTGTAAAGCGCTGTAGGGACCTTATGGATTCCATGCCACGTCGATGCCTAGCTATTATAAACAACAACGGATTTACAACAAAATATTAGACCTTAGAGAACATATTAAATATGAAATATTTACTTTTACTTTCATATTCTTTGTTTTGTCGTCTTTTTTAATAGCCACTACTATTTTCTTGAACAGCAAAATTTTTCAATTTTATATTAATTTAATAACGGTATGTAAACTAAAAAATTTTGTTGGTAGATAAAACTTTAAATATATCATACATTAATTAAAAATTAGGTTTTTAATAATTTTTTGATCGAATATTGTACTTATCATGTGATTTGACTGTTAAATAGTTAGTAGCCACCGGCACTATTATTTTCGTGAACACAGCTGTATATGCTACAGTAATCCGAGCTGACTAATTTCATCGGACATTATACCGTTGCTTTAGTAAATAAACTGTACCCAATTTTATAAAGATAATTTGTCAAACAAAAAAGTTTGCCATACAAGGTCCGGATTTTGAACGATGAGTTTGATCGATAAGTTTATATGGCGGCTATATCTGATAATGATCCGATCGAAACAATTCATTCAGAGACTACGCCGTTCCCTTGTTAAGTAAACTGTGTCAAATTTCGTGAGCAAAATTGGAGAATCGAACGGTACATTTTCAAACCAGCTATCTACCAAATATCAGTATTTCAATGCGTTGGTCCGTCTTTTTCGAAAAATATCAATCAATGCTGCACTATATGCTACTTTAAGCTTTTCGAATTTAAATTCCATTCGATATCGTTATTCTAATATAGATTTATATAATGTTTAAAACTTAAGTGATTCAGAATTGTTGAAAATTTGTTCGATTTTTTTCGCCATTAACTAATTACTTTAATCACAGACAATAAAAATTACCAGAGTGTTAAAAAATAATATAAATAAATATAATTTGGTTTCATGGTTAATGTATATTTCGGCATATTTGACTAAATACCCACAAAAAATCCAATAAAACTACATATATAGCTGTGTAAACATTAAGGTTTTTAATGGCAGCCATTTGGGTAGTGTCGCCTGATTTTATCGTTTTACACAGCATAAATATGCGCTAAATAGAACACAATGGTAAATTTGTAAATATATTTTGGCATATATTTCTGCAAATATTTTTATATCTGTTAGTATAAATGCATATAGTTGCGGTTTAGACTCGCTGGCGATGGATTTATTTTTAATTGCGCCAAAAACTGTCGGAAATTATTTTAGTCCGTCGTGTAATAAAATTTGCATGCACCAAAAAAATAAATTTTTTTTTTTTTCAAATATATACACAATATAGTTTTTTTTTTACTACACGTTAAATGTATTTAGAAAATATTAGTCAAAATTTAATTGCTGGAAATTAATTCAAAGGGCTTAACATTTATAGGGTTTTCATATAAAGAATTTAATAACTTAGGTAAGTTGATTGGATGTCTGACGACCGTTAGAAGGCTCCCTGTGAAATCACCGGCCCATTGAAAAACTCACTGACTCTATTATATCCGCTGAACCACCCTGTGCTCTACTTGAATTTAATACTGTATTTTAATTACACATTGGATCAGCTTTTCCGAGCTCTCAATTTACGGCTTCTGAGTTTGTGCACACTTCGGAAAGATTATGAAAGATATCAAGAAAATAAAGCAAAAATTTTACCATTACATTTAATGACTCTAAACCTTAGGATATGTAAGGTAAAAACACATAAAGAAAATTTTAACCAGTTACCAGATTTGTACACCAAAAACCGTATATTTGCTGGGCAACAGATATCCTATTTCATGTGTATTGGCATCAATAGATCCTACGCCGTTGGTGAAGCTAAAGTCAACAGAATTTTATATTTTTTATCAACCACGTGCCCGCAAAGACTTTAGACTTTACATATTCGCACCGGAAAAAGTTCACCGGATGGTTTTGGTGGCCAAACGACCGGTACAAAACGTGAAATTGTCTGCTCATCAAAGTATTATCTCAATAAACCCATTGGTTGATGCGATGTGTGGGAATTGGCACCGTCTTGTTGAAACCAAAATTCGCCGAGATCATGAGCTTCAGTTTGAGGCATCAATATGTCTATATCATGGCGCTATTGGCGTATACTTTCTCACCGGCATCATTTTTGAAGAAATATGTACCGATGATTCCACCAACCCACAAATCACACAAACCGTTGTTTTTCTGAATGAAATAGCAACTCTTCAATCTCTGATCGGTGTACAAAATTTAGCTAGAAAACGTCGGATCTTCTTGCAACTCAAGAGCCCATAGAGCGAAGCGATTTCGCTTGGAAAGGTGGAGCGACTTCAGTTTTTACACAAGCTGTATTTTGTGTGTTTCAATTAAAGAACTGGAGGTAAAATGGTTCAATACGTCAGTCCGAGTTGCTGCGTGTACACTCTACAACGGTTGCTTTATTTTCTGCACTGCATCTTAAACGTGGTGTATTCGGTCGAATATTATCCAATAAGGAATGCTGGAACTCAAGATGTGTGATGTCGAAAATACACTCAAATAGACATTGGAGAGACGTCTAGGAGATACTTCATGGAACTTCATGAAGTATTAGACATCAGAATTAGATATCAGATCTCTATTAAACTATGTAACACGCGTTGACGTTCTTTCTGCATTACGTAAACTTCAGCTCGTATTGATAATGAACCTACAGCTGGCTGTACAAAGGACCTGTAGTCTTTGTAAGAAGCCAATGTAACCTAACCTAACTTAGTCGCTAGTTATCTTATCAATTAACTCTTTTTGTGTGATTACAATTTTTTTCTTCAATTTACACCTTAATATATACATATATTGTAATCAAATTTTCTCTTTTTTCCTACATGTTTAGCGCCGTGCATCACGACGCGCCTCTCTGCGCCGCGGCTCCATTTCAGTGCTGCCACAAAAGTCTGCCGAAATTCCATGGGACATTCTGGAGCGTCTATTGTTGCCATTCCTGTTCTGTCATGCTGCCGCATTGATTATCTCAACATTGTTGCACGCATTGGATATTTCACATGTCTCCACGTTTGCGGTATTCGTTTGGTTTGCACTCTCCACTGTCGGAGCGGTCCTCTTCTATCATTTCGTTAAGGTGAGTGAAAATTGAGTAAAACGATTAGCAGCAAACTGAGCTTAAAAGAGGGCATATATGAGAATTAGGTAAATAGAAAATATGAGAAAAATGGCAAAAATATAAGGAAAAAACAATAAATAAAAAAAAAATGTAAAAGCAATATTATAAAAAATACAAAACAAAATTAAAAAAAAAAAAGTGGAAAATAAAAATTTTAATAACAAAAAAAAA